TTGGCTGGTCAGTTATAGTAAAACAGATGAAGGGTGTGTGCTTAAAATGCAGATTACTTCTAGTATAAAGAACTTTCTGAAGACTAGTCTGAATTATTTGATCACAACAAAGCACAGTAAGACTATTTACCTATCATTGTAATATCCTAGCTAAGGAAAAAGATACCTTCATGAAGGACTTTAAGGAAAACTGGGATATTATTTTGGAAGAAAACCATGAAAATATCCGTGCAACTAACCTGTTCTTCGAATCCGTGTCGAATTGCCAATGTACAGGGGTTTTATCCACTCGGCTAGTGGTGGGCGTTCCTAAAGGCTATATTTGATTATTTGATCATCACAAAGTAAAATATGGCTACATGTATAAGAGAAAAAATGCTATTGAGGGGAACTTTCTAAAAAACACTTACCTGTATTTCCCTTAAGTATGGGGAAAACAGTGAAAAAAAACCTATGCAGCCAGTTTGTTTATTGGTATTTGAACCAAGTTCGAACTACCGATACTCAAAAGTCTTATCAACTTTTACTTTCAAGAAACGCACTAAGCCGAAATGCAGTTGTTTCACTGCTTTAGCCTTTTGCACACTACTGAACTTCATCAAAGACTAAAAAAGCAGCTTCGAGAGAATTAAGGATAAGCCAACATTTTCATGTGATTCCCAAAGTAATGTGCGTACATATAATAATAATAATAATAATCAATAGTTTTATCTTCCATTTACTTTATGTATAAAAATGAAGGATTGATCTTTAAAAGTTGGATGACTGAATATCAATAAATTTTATTTAAAATATTTTTATTTTATTTGTTTGTTTGTTAATAAAAATTTTATTTGTTAAAAAATTAATGAAACATCAGTTGTTTTTAAATCGTGCATTTGACCCGCATGCATTTTGAGTTAGAGACCACTGCTGTATGGATCGACAGTGTGTAAAAGGACCACATTTGCATCGAATGATTGAATCCAAACACCATGTGTGTTGAAATTTTTGTTGAAACAATTGGCTTCTTATTACATCGCAATACCTTTTGTTTGTACACGAGCAAACCATGCGATCCGTCCTTTCCTCAAAAATGAATGCTGAAATAATAAAAGAACCTGTAAATCCTCGAAAGTAATTTCACATGAGTGCTTAAGAATTTGTTTGCATGCGGATTTGTGTACCCATAAGCGTTATTTGTGGGTACTCACTTTTCCGTGAAAAGAAAAATATCCACAGCTGCTCAACATCAAGTCTACTTTAACAGATCATTTTAAAATGAACGAGCGAGGACTAAAAGATTTTATAAAACCCTTAAAGATTCAGCTTCTGAGTCTAAGTTAACACAAATTGAATCTTCCCTAGAATTTTACAGAGAGCATAAAAAATGCTTTTGATATGGCTCAAGCAATCCAGAAAGTAATTTTGTTACTTATTATTTGTTATATATTACAATAAGTATAGCAGCCATTGCAATGTTTTTTTTTTCTTGCTATAAACTGATTACTATGGTCGATTCTTATTGCCCATGGTGTTTCTTTCCACTGTAAAAATGATGCGAACAATTGTAATGTCCTAGCTAAAATAAAGTTCTTTAACTACTAGAATATTTTGCACCACTGAAAGGGTTTCCGATCTAAGGTGATACCTAACGGAAAAAGGCCACCCAGTGGAAATTATTTATTGAACAGAGTTTTACAATGAATTATTTTACATGATTTATACATGACGGTTAAAATTATTTACAGCCTTTTTTGCATTTGCTATGGTAGTTCAGTGTTTCAGATGATCAATATTACAGTAGTTCAATGTTTCAGATGATCTTTGTTGAGGTCTTGATTGATTGATCAGAGGGTCTTGGTTGAATGATATAAAACATCAGTTATAAATTTAGATGTTAGGCCGAATATTATAGTTTTTTTATAAATGATTATTGAATTAATTTAATTTTGATATATACAAAATAAATAATAAGAATAAATAATAGAGTCTATAGTTTAATATTAGAATCTAAAAAAAGAACTGCTACAATACTGAAGACCTAAGTAGCGAATATTCGCTGCGTTCTTCTGCGTAAGTAAGAACTCCTGGCCACCCAAACGGTATAATGGTTAGCGTCGCTGACTGCCGTTCGGGCCCGAGTTCGAATCGCGAAGAACGTTTGGATGTTTGTAAATGTTTAGTGTCCGTGTGGCATGGGGGCACTCTAAAGATGCGACGAGCACGAGCCCAAAGTAATCTTGAGAGGTTGGTGGTAGGTAAAGAGAGGTGGGAGAACCTTGGACCTGTCCCCCCCCCGGGATGCTCTTCCTCAAAATTGGGAGTGGAACTGAGCTAAATCGCACTGTCACCTGTCAGGTGCTCAAGGTTGTTGCCAACGATAGGCTTATCTTGCTCTCCTTGCCAAAAGGAATTTCGTGGGCTTGGGCTGGATATAGGTCAGACAAGTGAGAATTAGTCAGCAACTCTGGAGAAGGATTAAAATACCCCTTTCTGTTCACTCAAAAGAGATTAACATACTGCTCTTCTTGGGCATACAAGAAGCCTTCCCTTGGAATTAAACTCAGAATAGAAATATTAAACTAACTAATGCTAAATACAATTAATCAGCCGAAGCTACACACAGTATCGCGTAGGCAGCCCTTTCCCTAAGAATCATCGGCGTATGCTAACAAGCACGTAATAAGTACAGCTGTAGAACGGCAAGCTTTAACTAGCAGCAATCAATGTGGCCGAAAGGCAAAACACGCTCTACTATTGAAATAACTTAGACCTCAGCTTAAATAGCAGTTTCTACCCTATTTGTATAAAGCATAAAACTGAAAACTCATTCTAGCAGAAAAACGTATGGAGGAAAATGAGAAGGTTAAGGAAAAGCTTACTCCAAAATAAAAATAATTATTTTTAAAATATAGTAAAACTCCTACAAAATAATTAGCGCACATACTTCTTTAGTCGGTTGTAAGGCAGAGCCTATTTTTAAAAGGCATTAAATAAAACATACTACTGCAGAAATGTTTCATGTATTCAAATGAGCAACAGAATTACTTCAAAGATTCAAAAACACACTTTTTCAGTCTCTCTCTGGGTTTTATTTCTTTCTTCATTTATGATACACGTTATTTTGATGTGAAAATTTTCAATATTTCGCTCCAAGAAAGCAGTTCTTAATGAACTTCAAATGCGTACTATAAATGCATGCCTGTCAGCTAAATGTTGCCATAAAAATATATTTTACTCATACTTTCTAACTAAAATACTAGAAAAAGATTTCTCGAAATAAGTATATCCATTTCTAATAACATTAAAATCACTCCCTGGTAAAAAATCCGGAAAATTTCACTTATCCAAACTAAATGAGTCTTCTTAACCGTAATTTCGTCATACCTAAAAATAGATCTGCATGTCACATGACATTATCTGTGACGGAAATGAAGCATGCCAGCTGCTTATAAAAAATTATAACTGGTATTTACTATAAAGCGGTCTGTTTCATGCATCAGCAGGAAATGCTACCTAGCCTATTTTTGTAGCTTATTCTTAAGAAATGTGATATTTCATCCATTAGGTAAAGTAATAAGGAACAGACGAAGGTTTAATTTGCAGTGATACAAAGTGTTGACAGAGCAGCTGTCGAACTCATCCACTCTTACTACGATCGCATGAAATATTCAGTACACTTTCAGAAACTTCTGTGCTAGTTTTGTATTTCAATATTTTGTCTCATATCTTAAATTACCAGTTGGAGACCGGACTACAATATTTTCGCTTTAAGTCTGATATATATTATAAGAATTATTTCTTTAAACAAGCAAATAATATAACTTGATAATATATACTATTGGATCTTCGTATTCAAATTTCAGTTTAACAATTTGTTGAGATGTCAAGCAGGTGAGAGAAATAAATTATGTTTTCTCAAGAATTCAAACCATTGATCTTCCACTTTCTAGCTGGACATACAAACCGCTTACACCGTCGCAGATCGCAGAATAATACGATAATTTTTTACATTTTCTTTTATTTAAAAAGAAACTGAGTAGAAGCACGAGACCCATTCAACTAAATGTAGCTGGCGGTAGAATTATCGTCCACTACAATTTCTACTTCGAATGCCATTGTACAGATTATTACGTTTTTTACTGCTGGAAACATGAAAACGCATTGGTAATTACGTCGAAATTCGAACACGATGGATATTCAGCTTGCTAATACAACATGCTTTTGCAATAGTTTGTTAATAGGTCAGCTTGTAGCTTGCTTGTCACCTTGCTAATAGGACTAATAGCCCTTGCAACCTGGGAGCACATAAAAGAGAATGCGATAATTTCTTACGAATTGAAAGAGTCTTAGTTACGATAGTATTACTATTTCAAGAATTCCAGAAATTTAAGGTCCACAAGCTTACTAATAGGAAATGCTAATCCCTTGCGGCTTGTGAGCACATTAAAAATGAATGTGAAAATTCCATACAAAGTGAAACATTCTTAGTTACAATATTTTCAAGAATATCTATTTCAAGAATTCCAGAAATTTAAGGTCCGCCAGGGCCGAGTGGCTGTTGAACACTGGTAGTTCAATCCCGGGTTTGAACGAACGGAGTGGCTGTATGGACGTTTCCGTGTTTTCCACAATTATGTGCAACGTGAATACGAGCCAGTTTCCTTTAGAAAGTCCTCCACGATGATGTCCTCTCCCTTAGGCTGATGTTGTTGGAAATCTGCTCACTTAAAATGTGTATAAATTGGACTGGGGATTAGTGGCTATTCAAAGTCTTTTTGAATGGATAATAATGGGAAAGCTGCTAGATCAATCAAATAATAACTTGTTATTGAGCACATATTTCTCCTCATCCTGGTAAGACTGAGGATTTGTTGAGGTTAGCAGTAATTTGTATCACTGATCCATGTGAAAATAAATCAAAGGATGATAAAAGTGATGTTGAATCATTTTGAAAGGACTATTAAATTTAACTTTAATTGAAGATATAAGATATAAAATTATCGTTCTCTGGTTAGAATGTCGAGATCTTCCAGACAAGAGAAGTGTAGCTGTGAAAAGATTAGTTCTTGCAAAGACCAAACTCAAAGCTGCGAATATATTTGAAGCGTATGATGAAGTTTTTAAAGATTGGGGGCATAAAGGCATAACTGAAAAAGTTCCAGAACAAGAATTAAAGGATAAAAGGCACTATTTACCTCACAGAGGAGTTTTTAAAGAAAATTCCACAGAGCTCAGGCCTGTTTTCTATGCTTCGTGTAAACAGAAAGGATATCCTTCATTGAATGGCTGTTCAGCAAAAGGACCAAATTTATTGAACCTACTGCCTGCTAATTTGCTGAAATTTAGGGAAAGAGAAATAGGAGTAATTTCGGACACAAAAAAGGCATCTCTACAAATTAGCGTTAATAAGGAGGATCGTGATTATTTGAGATTTCTCTAGTGGCACAATTGAGGGGAATAAGATGCGTGTGTTTCACCACTGTTGTGTTGTGTTGGGAGAAAATTGTAGTGTATGCCTTTTAGATGCAATAATTGATTTTCATCTGAAGCAATACCAATCACCTCTTGGAGAGAAAGCCAAACAGCTCAAGTTTTCATTTTATGTAGGACACTGTATTACGTATGTAGTTTCAGAAGAAATGTTGCATTCCTTTATAATATCAACCACACAGTTAATGAGTGAAGGAAATTTCGAGTTAAGAGGTTGGCAGCGTACTTGAGATAAAAAATTTTAAAGTGCTGATGTTAAATCAGAACCAACATCAGTTTTGGGATTACCTTTGGGACAAACATGATGACCTGTTGTTTTGTAATGTAGATGAGATTGGTTATTCACATGTCCCAGTGACGAGTAGTTCCATCTTGTCAGTTACACAGAGAGTATTTAACTCCATAGGATTCTGTTGTCCGGCAACCTTTGTGCGAAAACTTTTATTATAAGAAAGTTGGAAAACAAAATTAAGCTGGGATCCTGAAGTGCCTGCAGACATACAAAATGTTCTTAATGAGTTATTAGCTTGCTGAATTGGGGTACGATTAGCTTCTTTTGTCAAGAAAAGCTTAGAATTAAATTATATTAAAGAATGCTTTTGAACTGATTCTTCCATTGCCTTATGCTAGATAAAAGGAGAAGAGCAGTGGGGAGTTTTTGATAAAAACGGAGGGAAAGAAATTCGAAGCTTAACAAAAACTGAGAAGTGAAAGCGTATTTCTGGCCATTATAACCCGGCAAATCTTCTCTTCATAAGTTGTTTAGCAGCTAAAAATAAGGAATCCAGATGATGGGAAGGCTCTTCTTGGTTGAGACTACTCGAAGAAGCATGGCCAAGATCCAATTCAATTGTAAATGAAGAAGAAATAAGCACTGAAAGGAAGAAAAGTATTGTTACTTCATTAGCTTGTAATAGCTCTGCAAATATATGGTTCTTGTGTTACTCTTCTAATTACATGAAGATCTTCAGAACGGTAGCATAGGTGTTGTTACAAATACAAATATGCCTAACATTGATTGAATCTTCAGCGCATTAACTGTTTCTCAATTGACTTCATCTGAGAAGTATATGGTTAAAACAGCTCAGAAGTAAGCCTTTACTTCAAAAGAAATTTAAGTTTAAAGTCTCTAAACGTGTTTTAATATAAAGAAGGCATCTTACGAGTAGAAACAAAGTTAACTAAAAAGAAGGATAATATCAATTTCATTGCTCCCTTGCTCCTTTCAAGTATATCCATGCTGGTATACATTTATTGTTATATACGTCGCAGGAAAACTTTTGGATCGTGAAAGGACGGAGGAGCATTTGGAAGATAATTTCAACTTGTGTCAGATGTAAAAGGCACAAGCAAAACCAAATAGAAATGGTTCCTGCACCACTGCTAGAGGACACGGCGAGATAAGGTGGAAGTATGTCAGAAACTGATATTCTTTGATGCTACTAAATTTTTATGCCTCAGGTGACGATTTATATAGCATGTAGTGGCAACATTGTAAAAACATTATTTTGTTTTTGAAAAAGGTTATTGCTGTTCTTATCGCAACGGTTAAATGTAAATGCTTGGAAATATTATTTAGATTTTAAGTAAAAAGGAAAAAATATTAAAATCGGGTAGATTTTATTGAATTTTTGACATTTAAAACGCTTACAATGGGACTCTGTGTTCCGAATGAGGCACTTTATGTGTCCCTCTCCTGCAGCAACACTGTTTTTAGGTCCTGGAGGGTTCTTGAACGGAAAAACGAGTTGCAATTACAGTATTAGTAGGGCCCTATAGGGCAGATCTATCTGATTAATCCACCAGGTTAATACCCTCCATTTCCAGATTATCTATATGGGAATGAGCGTTGTGGTCGATAAAAATGAGCTGACGACCGACTGTAGTGGTGAATATTTTTAAAATTTCCAGTGGCAGAGAATAAGATAAAGATAATACTCGTACAAACAGAACAAAATTCTGTGAGCACAATACAATAACGTAAAATGTTAATATCTCATTATTTGGCCTCTAGCGCTCTAATACCTCTCCACCTCAGGCTCCACGCAGCTCTGGGCACCTTCCGACGTGGGCACTGTCCATTTCTTTAAACAAGCTACATAGTTGGCGTTTGGGCTGATAAGGATACCAACATGATAAAGATAGCTATCTAAGCAAGCGTGACCAGTTTCAAGCCTAAAACTGGCCTCAGCTTTTCTCCCGTTGTTTGTCTTCCAGTTTCCTTTCCAACACTTCCTCCCGTTCTTGGTTGAGACACGCATCACAAGATTGCCGCATGCTAATGTAGTAGACCTTTTAGCTGTTTTCAGGGTGCATTGCGAGGAAACGTAAAGGAGGTAAAGGCGAATATAGAGCTATAAGATCTTGTTTGTTTGCTAGAAGACTTGCAGTTTGTATCCCACTAGCATCTGAGCGTAAGATAACCTGTTTATTATGGTGCAGAGAACATCGAATGTGGACCAAACATCAGCGAGAGAACATTCTTTTGACAGGTGAGTTCCGATCCAGCGTAACCATTTGATTTTCAATGAACCTTCACATGAAGAAAACCAGGGTCTCGTTATTTATCCTTCAACATACGAGAAAGAGATTAGTATGGTAGCGGAGGTTTCATGATCTGAGCAACCATCATATTGGACAGTACAACTCTTCAAGCCTTTAACAGATGCTCACTGCCGTCTATAAGAAAGATATTTTAGAATAATAATCTGCAATGCTCTTTTAATTTATCACAAATAAGTAACAGATGGCACTGTCTTACGTGCGTGTACAACGAAAACACTGTCCACTTGCGGTGAGAACTTAAACGATGCAAACAAATTTGAAAGTTAAAAATGTAGTGCTAGACTACACAATTTAGTTTAATCTAACAGGCTGACTCAGAAACCTACACTTGTGAAATACTAACTAAATGGCCGGAATGCGTAGCCGCTACTAACCTTTTCCTTCCAACAGTTTAAATACTTTTGTTCACCGACTTTCTTAATTTGCATCCTGGCGAAGAAATACGAGGGGAAATAAGAGAATTCAGGAAAGGCTTTCAAATTAAAATAACCGTTAGTAAAACTAAACAGGACCCTATAATATGTCCTTCGGTTGTAGGCATAATTTACCAAATGCAAAAATTCTCTTAATTTTTAGCACAACGTAGTTACGACGGGCCTATTAGTCATAAAATTATTCATTCAAAAACTAAAGCAACTGAATATAAATTTAATATATACCTAAGATGAATACGTGACAAAGCGAAATGATTGACAAAAAGTATTATGATATTATTTCATCATAAGTTAACGAACTAGTGCACCTAATTAATAAAGAAAAGATGTAATTATTCAACATATAGCTGTGCATTTTCTCAGTATCCTATGTGCACTAGGCCTTGCAATAAATATTTCGCTCAAATGAAATTGTAGCAATTTATATTTTTCAAAGACTTAATCTTTTTTATAAAGATTCAAATTTAAAAACTAAAAGAGATTTTCTAGCTAAACGCGGGAAGGAGGGGGGACTAAGATTTCCGATTCACAAGATTATTAGCAACGAAACGAGTTATTTCAACTTCAGCAAGGGAATAAGTGCTATACGTTAAAGTTCATAGATGTTGCGTAAAATGAGTCAAGTTATAAAAAAAAATTTTTACTCAGGCAAAAATTGAGCCAAAATAGAGACTTTAAGAAAATATTTTTTAGCCTTAAGTTACACAACAATATATTATATTTCTTAGATACGTATGGCTAAGTAACTATGTAATTATTCATGTGTAACCTTCTTCTTTTCTGATGAATTTTCGTCTTCGTACTAAACATACCTCTAAAGAAACTTCAGTAACACAGACAAGAGGTTCGTCTTGTAAATACCTTACCTCTAGAAATTAACAAGTAAAAGGTTCCCTCACCAAATACTTCGGTACCAAATACTTCGGTTCGGGCGAGGGAGGGGGCATTTCAAGATAAACAGCTATACTGGCTATAGCCGTAGCACTCTCGTAACTACTCGTATTTCTTAATTCTGATGATAGCTGTTGGTACATGATGATTCTGATGAACCTAGCTTGAATTTCGGTAAAACACTGATTTTATGAATGAATATGGTAGCATATTGCATCGTAGCATATATAAGTATAGACTCAATAGAGAAGGTATTGGAACTGCCTAACAAATGAATAAAATAAAAGTCAAATCAACAAACATTTAGACCTGGTACGAATGCATTTTTATTTGGCATAATATGTTGAACCTACACGAAAGAATTAACACAAAAATCTCATGCTGATGAAAATAAAACATATAAGCTGTAATTTAAAACTCTTCTTCGATGCTTCGATTTCGCGTTGAATTATCTGTCTGTTGATCTAGTTGCAAAACTTTATTTTCTGCCAGGATTAAAATTTCTTTACTTTCATGCAAACTCCTACTCATACCGCCTCAGGGTGAGAACCTTCTTACTGTATTTTCACCGATACTTTTCTATACTTGTGTCAAGTATTTGATTACATAAAAAAAAAAAAAAAAAAAAAGAGTTTTCTTAATTCCAATATTCGTAATAGACTAATAATAGTTAATTTGCAGATGAATGAAAGATGTTAGCAAGCGAAGTGCAACAACTTCCTAATTTGCTAGGACGTGACGTTTTCGTGTAGAATACATTAACACTTGTTTTGAAGGTACATATAAGAAAATCTATATAAACAAATGCTTTTGAATATATTTGGCGTTCAATCAAATCGTTTTGTAGGTTTCGTTAGCAAAAGAAGGCCAGGATAAACGTGTAGATAATGAAATGTGAAGTTCGAATTTTAATTTGTAATAGCTCTTTAACTTTCCTTTTTAATTTGATTATTTCACCTTTCTATCCTAAAAATCATAACTTGCTTATAATATGTGTAAATCCTTCTGAATATGTCATTTAAAAATTAATCCGTGTCACATAATTTTTATATAGTTATTG